TTTTACCCCTCTCCCTCTCTTTCCTTCCCTCCCTCCCTCCCTCTCTTTCCCTCTCTCTCCCTCCCTCTCCCTCCCTCTCTTTCCCTCTCTCTCCCTCCCTCTCCCTCCTTCCCTCTCTCTCTTTCCCCCTCTCTCCCTCCCTCTCTCTCATTCCTTCTCTCCCTCCCTCCCCCTCTCCCTCCCTTCCTCTCCCTCCCTCTCTTTTCCCTTCTCCCTCCCTCTCTTTCCCCCTCTGTCCCTCCCTCTCTCTTCCAGATATGGCTGCAATGAACCTCAACAACGGTTCCAGCGGGGCTTCTGACCAAGACACCCTGGGCCCCCTCCCGCACCCCTCCACGCCATGGCCGCTGGGGCAAAGTTATCCTTACCAGTATCCCCTCGCCCCTCCGTGTTTCCCGCCAGCCTACCAGGACCCCGGCTTCAGTTACGGCAGCGGCAGCGCGGGAAGCCAGCACAGCGAAGGTAAGGCCCTCGGAGGCAAGCTTCCCGCCTTCCTGCTCCCCTGGCTGTTGCGCATATTGCTCCCTCCCCTGCGCTCCCTTTGCCTCTCCCTTCTCATGGACCCTTTGCGTCCATCTTGCACGGAGTCCGACTCCTGGCTACCGCCGTCGGGTAGGGGGGCAATGTTCAGCTGAGCTGCCTGCATGGAATCACACAGGTCCCTTAACCTGGCCGGGGAAAAGTCTAGCAGTTGACGCTTTGGTGGTCCTCGGATTGTGGCCTCCTGTGTCTCCTGTCTGATGCGTTTGACATTCACAGCACACCGTGTGCAAATGTCGGGAAACGAGGGATTCGCGCAGCCAGCCAGTTTCAAAGTGTGAGCGTTGTTCCCAACAACCCTTGTTCTGCGTTCGGAACAATTCCAGACTGAGGGCTGGTTTTTCCAGCGTTCCCAGTTTGCCAGCGAAGCATAGGTGGTCCTTGACTTACAACAGTTCCTTCACTGACCGTTCAAATGAAAAAAAAAGGGATTTATGACTTAGAACCCTTGCGACATCCCCACAATCATGTGATCAAAATTCAGACACTTGGAAACCGATTCACGTTTATGGCGGCTGCATTGTCACATGATTCCCTGTTTGCGACCTTCTGACGAGCAGAGTTCTGACCTAGGCTTCCCCAGCTGCACGAGTCATCATCCCAATAAACCCCTTTTAATTTAATTTACAGTGAATTCCTCTCCAGCAAAATCCCGGCCCACAGTCTTTCAAGAGAGTTCACAATTACTGACCTTGATCAGGCTTAGAGAGTGGCCAGGCTGAGATCTTTCAAACGCCCCGCAATATTCTGTAAGAATGCAGGAATGAACTATTTGCCTCCTGCAAACTCCACTCCCCNGATAGATAGATAGATAGATAGATAGATAGATAGATAGATAGATAGATAGATAAGAGAGAGGGGGAGAGAGTGGGGGGAATAATCATATCTGCCATGTCTTCCGACTTCTTCTGTGCAGGAGCAGATGTCGTCGACTGGCTTTACACCCACGTGGAAGATTTCAAAGACCGCCGAGAAGCCCGGAAATACGCCAGCAGTATGCTGAAGCACGGCTACCTCAGACACACTGTGAATAAGATTACTTTCTCAGAACAGTGCTATTACGTGTTTGGAGATCTTTGCGGCAGTAAGTGGCCTCCGTTGCACGTCTCCTTGGGACAAGTTGCTCTTTTCGTCCGTTTTACCTTTGCTCAGGTGGCTCAGTGGCTAAGACACTGAGTTTGTTGATCATAAAGGTGGGCAGTTTGGCGGTTCGAATCCCTAGAGCCACATAACGGAGGGAGCTCCCGTGACTTGTCCCGGCTTCTGCCAACCTAGCAGTTCGAAAGGACATAAAAATGCAAGTAGGAAAATAGGGACCACCTTTGGTAGGAAGGTCACAGCGTTCCGTGCGGCTTCAGGAGTTGAGTCATGCGGCCACATGACCACAGAGATGTCTCCGGACAGCGCTGGCTCTTCTGCTTTGAAACAGAGATGAACACTAGAGTCCCCTAGAGTCGGGAACGACTTTTACTTTTTACCTTTGCTTATTTATTCTGGCACCTTCCATTTTTAGTTCGTTTGTATTTAGGCCCATGTCTCCAAATGCACAACTAGAAAGGGGGAATTTGGCTCGAAGTTAAGTCAAGCCCTTCAACTGCCGACTTTTTTCCCCAGCCTCTCTTTTTGTAAAAATTAATCATTGTTTTCCCATTCTTGCCTCAGTAGTTGACCGCAGCTAGCTGACCTTGAGTAATCACGAGAAAGCTGGTTTGTTCTGGGATGGGAGACCACCAGGAAATCCCAGGAAGGTAGATTGGGATTTAAAAGAAACAAGAGAGTGCCGAGCTGTTTCCGTAACACCTGCCAAGCGTCAAACTTGCCAACTTACAGATATTAGCCTTTCTATTGAAAACTCTACTTTCATTGAACCAAAGGAGACAGTTTGGTCTATTGGTTAAGGCACCTGGTAGAAACCATGAAGTCCAGATTTAGGCATGAAAAGCCAGCTGGGTTTCTCTTCGGGCCAGACTGTCTCTCTCAGCCCAACCCAACTCACAGGGAAACAGGAGGAGGAATTTTAGGATATTAGGCACACTAACTGCCTTGTCTTATTTATAAAAATAATAAAATAATAAAGGTGGGATTAAAAAAAATCTTAAAAAATAAATTTTATATGATCCAGTTTGGTGGCTTAAAAGAGATCAAAAATTCCATTTTGAAGGCAGACTGTTGGTTCTCAGGCAGGAGTGAACGAGCTTTCTGCTTCTCAAGCTGTTCTTCTTTCTTTCCTTCCCCTCTCCCTCTCTCCACTCCCTCTCTCTCCTTCCCTCTCTCTCCCCCTCCCTTTCCCTCCCTCTCTCTCTTTCCCCTCCCTCCCTCCCCCTCCTTCCTTCTCTCTCCCCCTCCCTTTCCCTCCCTCTCTCTCTTTCCCCTCCCTCCCTCCCCCT